CCCCCTCCCCCTCCCCCTCCCGCCCTTGCCACAAGACACGGCCGTCAAAAGAATTATACTTATATATATATATATATATATATATATATATATATATATATATATATATGTATATATATATATATATATATATATATATATATATATATATATATATATATATTGGGGGGAGGGCATTAAATCAACACCTGTTCTGAAGGCGATAAGCAATGGTACACACCCAAACTGCAATCAATATTTTGTTACGCGTTTCCACAATGAATATCGTAATTAATTTTCAAAAGCAGTGGGGGCGTCACATAACAAGCAATATCTTGTGGCAATTTTTCCTGTTATTTCTTTAATTTCTCTCTTCTTGACTTATCTCTTTCCTCAAACTCTGTTCTCCTCATAAATCTTCCCTAGTCTTCTCTTTTATGTTTTATTTATTTATTTATAGTCTTTATATTTTCCCTAAACCTCTCTGTTTTTTATTTCTTTGTTAAAGACTTGTTTTTTTCTGTCATCTTTCCGTAAAACTTTTCTGTTCATCTCTTGCCTCCCTTAAACTTACGAGCTCAGTTATTTCTTCATCAAACTTCTCCCTTCTGTCCTTACCCCTCCCTGAAATTTATCTATTTATCTCCTGTTATCTATTCGCCAGACGTCTCTGCTCTTTTCTTTTCTCCTGAAACTTGGCTGTTCTTTTTTTCATCTCTTCCCCAAACTTCTCCGTTACCCTCTCTCCCTTGCCCTCTCCTTCCCTAAACTTCCCTGTCCGTGTGTTTACCTCCCTTGCCTCCCTCTCGCCTCGCCGTCCTGGCCCGCTTTCCCTTCCGACGTGTTCTTGGAGATGTCAAATTGGCGATAATGAGGATGAACGACTGGCGGAGGTGATGACAGTAGCAGTGGCATTAAATCATGACGATGGCGATGACAGAGGTGTCAGATACTGAGAGAGACGATGACGAAGGCAGAGGCGACTGATAAAGACTTTGACGAAGGCAGGGACGACTGATAAAGACGATGACGACAACGGTAGCGGCCGGGAGAGAAGGAGACCCCCCCCCCTTCCCAGCTGGTCTCTGCTCCCTGCCTCGTAAAAGAGGATTTTATTGACTTCCTGGAGTGAGGCGTTTCCTCTCCCTTGACTGCGAATTCACTGACACTGTTTCCTTCGCCGATGAAAATTTGGTGTATTATCATCATTACTATTATTTATTTATCTATTTATTCAATTAATTTATTTATTTTGGTTTTGTCTTTTCTGTGTGTGTATATTTTGAATATAAAATATGGGGCAACTGGAATAGATCAGTATTAATTTTCAGTTTTTATTTTTGTATGTATAATGTATTGTTTTGCATATATTTTTGCTTGCTAATTTATAGAATGTATTTCAGTCGTATTTAGAGTTGTCTTCATTATGAATGTATATGTATATATATATATATATATATATATATATATATATATATATATATATATATATATATATATATATATATGTATATATATATTTTTTATATATGTATATGCATATATATATGTATATATATATATTTATATATATGTATATATATGTGTATATGTATATATTTGTGTTTATATATGTATATTACATATACACATACATACATATATATATATATATATATATATATATATATATATATATATATATTATATATATATATATATTTTATATATATTTATATATATTTATATATATATTATATATATTTATATATATATATATATATATATATATATATATATATATATATATGTATACATGTATACATATGTGTATTTGTGTGTGTATATATATATATATATATATATATATATATATATATATATATATATATATATCGTTTTGCATAATATTAGTTCTGTTATTTTGCTTGTTTGCCTTTCCCTTTGTTTGCTCCCAGTTTTCTCCGTCTCCCTCCTCCCCACTGATCCTCACTACCACGAGACTCATTGAACCTGACGAACAGCAGACTCTTCCACACTAACACCCCTCCTCCAACACTCTCCCTCACTGAGCCCATCCTCCAACACTTCCTCACCGAGCCCCTTCCTCCAAAACTCCCTCACTGAGCCTCACATCCACGAGCCTCACCCCCTCCCCCATTCTCCCTCCCTTTCCCTCCCTCCAGAGACGAACTAATGAAGTTTTCCTGAAGCTTTCTAGCGTCCGTTCCCTTGCAGCGTTTTAAGCGTCGCTCCCTCCCGAGCAGCTGGCACCAGAGGGCCGTGTTTGCCTTCTGGCACTGACCATGCGACAGGTGACCTCCTCCTCGCCGACGCCGTACGACTAACACCTAAAGCAAAGTCTCGGGCGTCGTCACGGGCGCAGGGAAGGCTCACTGGGCGGCCTTGCAAGGGCGGGGGGTGGGGGGGTAAGGAAGTGCTTTGTACTCTACCATAAGTAGAGCCTCTTTTTAGCAGGTGGCAGAGGCTCTGGGACACTGGCATAGGCTCACATCATTATATATATACATATATATGTATATATTTTTTTCTTTCTTTCTTTGTTTACTAATACAACTAATGCAATTCCATTAGCCCCCGCGAAGAGCCCTTGGGCCCTGAGGCGACGCCTGAGATTTTGAGACACTGAGATGCAGGGTTGAGGGTGGCCGAAGGGCGCTGTGGTCCAGGGTTCTCTCCTGTAGATGTCCGAGCCGGCCAGGTCTGAGGCTGTTCGGGCCGCCAAGGCTGCTCGCTTGCACGCATTTGCTCCCGTCTTGCTAAAGGAGAATTCTGGCTTGATAGTTCCGGCTGCCATGGTGACCTCTGCTTTCTCAGAGTGTCGCCGTGAGCTTGGTCGAATTTCAGAACTGCACACTTGTGAAGGTTCGCAAGAAAATATGTACATGCAGATGACGCATGGGAGAAGGTGCAAACAAGAGCTAGAAACTAAAACTAAACCTAAACCTTAATTAAACCCTGCGATTCAGCTCAACAACCTCAGACCGAGTTGGGCCAACTTGGATGCACTCTCTGGCACTGACGAGGCTGTTGCTTCGTGTCCTAGCTAATTCCCCCTTTGACTAATGGCGGTTTTTGGTTGAGGTTGATTTACTCTTTCTAGATAAACACTTCACGTTCTTTCTCTTGATTAACATACTAATCCTCGAACAAATGTTGTGTGAGAGAAAACGTTATCTTGACAAAAGTAACGATATTCACCTTATGATTAATATATGTTTTTTTTTTCTTCTCTTCGTAACGAATGAATTGGTTTAGATGAAGCAGCAACCTTCCTAGCTCACTCAGTCAATCTCCCTTCGCAGAGGAAAACCTGTATGGAATCACACTAGCCGAAGTTAACAGCATGTGGAACCGATACACTGATTGATTTTTGAATGGAGAAGATATATGCACATATATATTCTATGTATTTGCATATGTTCTACCGCACAGAAGGCACTTCCTTTGGTATTCTTGTAGCAAATAACCCCATTAATGAAGATGTTGAGCTCTGCCCTCCGCTCCACCTGGCGGGAGCTGCGCGAACTAAGACCCACACCCCTCACCTGACACCCGACACTCCATACCAACAGCCGATACCACACCCAACAGGCGATACCCACAGCCGACACCTACACCTGACATCCAATACCCGACACCCGATACCCGATACCACTCACCTGATACCCGATACCACTCACCTAATACCCGATACCCCCGAGTACCCACACCTGACACCCGATACCCCTCACCCAACACCCGATACCCCTCACCCGACACCCGATACCCCTCACCCGACACCCGATACCCCTCACCCAATACCCGATACCCAATACTTCTCACCCGATACCCCTCACCCAATACCCGATACCCGATACTTCTCACCCGATACCCGATACCCCTCACCCAATACCCGATACTTCTCACCCGACACCCGATACCCCTCACCCAATACCCGATACCCCTCACCCGTTACCCGATACCTCTCACCCGACACCCAATACCCGATACCCCTCACCCAATACCCGATACCCCTCACCCAATACCCGACACCCGATAACCCCTCACCCAATACCCGACACCCGATAACCCCTCACCCAATACCCGACACCCGATACCCCTCACCCAATACCCGACACCCGATACCCCTCACCCGATACCCGATACCTCTCACCCGATACCCGATACCACTCACCTAATACCCGATACCCCTCACCCGATACCCCTCACCAATACCCGACACCCGATACCCCTCACCCAACACCCGATACCCCTCACCAATACCCGATACTTCTCACCCGATACCCCTCACCCGACACCCGATACCACTCACCCGACACCTGATACCTCTCACCCGATACCCGATACTTCTCACCCGACACGCGATACCCCTCACCCAACACCCGATACCCGATACTTCTCACCCGATACCCGATACCCCTCACCCAATACCCGATACTTCTCACCCGATACCCCTCACCCAATACCCGACACCCGATACCCCTCACCCAATACCCGACACCCGATACCCCTCACCCAATACCCGACACCCGATACCCCTCACCCAATACCCGACACCCGATACCCCTCACCCAATACCCGACACCCGATACCCCTCACCCAATACCCGACACCCGATACCCCTCACCCAATACCCGACACCCGATACCCCTCACCCGATACCCGATACTTCTCACCCGACACCCAATGCCCGATACCCCTCACCCGACACCCTACACCCACACGAATGGACGAATGACTCACTACAGACTGATGCGGACCCGACCGACGTACAGCGCTGGGGGGGGGGGGTCAGCGTTAGTGATAGTGATGGTAATGATAAAAAAAAATGATGATTATAGGGAGTAATGGTGATGATAATAGGGAATGGTTATGATACTGGAGAGGATATAGTGAGAGGAATGATTATGAAAATAGAAAAAGTTGAAGATGATAATGGTAATAATGATGAAAATGAGGATAGTAATGGTAATGTTAATGAAGATAATAATTATGATTATGATATATGATAATAATAATAATGTAATAATAATAATGATGAGATTACCAATAATAATATTATTAATTGTTATTAGTAATAATAATAATAATGAAAACAATAATGATGATAATAGTAATAATAATAATAATAATAATAATAATAGTAATAATAATAATAATAATAATAATAAGGATGATGATGATGATGATTATAATTATAATTGTACTAATAATTATGATTATATTTATGATAATGATAATGATTATAATTAAGATAAAGATAGGATACTAATGAAAATTTAATGCTAATAATGATAATGATAATGCTAAGAATAATAATGCAGCAATAACACTAACAGTAAAATATGTGATAGTGAGTATAGTAGTAATAACGCCAATAATAACAGTAGCGATAATAAAGATGATAATGATGATGATGACAATAATAACAACGACAATGACAAAAATGATAATAATAATATGATAATAGTAGGAACAATAACGAACCATGATAATGATAATGATAGTGATAATAATGACAATAACAGTACTACCTCAACTAATAACAACAATCAGAATATTACTAATTGTAACACTAATAGTAGTTAGAAGGATGATGAAAATGATGAAAACTGCCCTGCAGGCGGTTCGTGAAGTCCCGGATCTTGAAACAAACGTCGGCGCAGATTCCGCGGCGTCGCGAAGGCAACTGCGAGTCATGCTGTCTGTTGCCTTTTGGAGTTGTTATTATTGTTGCTTGATTTATTCTTGTTTGTTATTTGTTTATTTATTTATTTATTTATTTGTCTTTTTATTATTTTTGAGAGATTTGGATTTTTTTTACCGAATGAGCTTTTTTCACCTAAGTGCGGTTTCCCGCCTGGCGTCGGTCGCAGGGGCTTGCGGAGGTAACGCCTTTGCATGGGCGGCGGGCGCGGCGGCCCGGGGCGGAACCGCGGGCGTTTTATGCTCGCTCTGTCTTGCTCGGCCTAGCGGTGTGGCGGGGCCTGTCCTCTCCCTCCTCTCGGTTCCTCTCTTCGCCTCTCCTTTTCGCTTCCGTCCCTACCACCCCCACACTCTGTAAATCTCTCCCTCCCTCTCCCCCTTTCCTGCCTCTCTCCCTCGTACCTGCCCTATATTCTTCCCTCCTTCCCTCTCCCTCTTTGCTTCCTCCCTCCCTCTTTTCTTCCCTCCCTCTCCCTCTTTCTCTTTTCTTCCCACCCCTCCACTCTCTCCCTCTCTCCCTCTCCCTCTCCTCCCTCTCTCCCCTCCCACCCTTCCTCCCTCTCTCCCATCTCCCTTCTTCCCTCCCACCCTTCCTCCCTCTCTCCCCCCCTCACTTCACTCTAGTCACCAACCTCCCACCCGCGAGCAGCTCCGGGTCGGCCGCAGGGGAGAGCTTCTTGGCAAAGGAACACATTGTTATTTCCACAGGATAAACCACAGGACTAGAGGTGCTGGGACTTAAATTCTATCGTAGCTGTGATAAAACGCTTCTGAAAAATAGTCTTGGCGCTGCGGACCTTCTCTTTAGATATAAAATATAAACCATTCTGTATTTTTTTCTTGCAGATTATTAAGTTGAGTATGTGTAGTTGCCGTAGAGTCAGTATATTTTTTGTATATTGTAAGATATGTGTCAGTAGCTAAAGCCTTGTGCATATTTATAGAATCTCGGTATCAGAAATAAAAAAAAATAGAAGCAAGTCCTATGAAGGAAGTCTTTCAGCTAAGCTAGTCGTATCAACGTACATTTTTGATTTCAGAATATTAGACTATAGACTGAATATCTAGGAAGCCTTGCAGAAGCAGTGTAGAAAGAATTACTTTTCTGAAAATGTTACTTTGTGCAGCTTCAGTATTGTGTAGCTTCAGTAAAGTTCGAGACTATTTTATCCTGGTTCGCACTCGTTGCGCCAGCAGGAGGAGCAGCTTCCTTAGTTTCAGGACCTGGCCAGGCAACGCTCCTTCTGCCGGAGGACGCGTCTGCCTCCCCGAGGCCCAGCGCTCACCTCCCCCCCTTCTCTCCCACAGCGACGCGAGGTCGAGCGCGAGAAACGAGCGCGGGAGCGCAGCACGCGGCTGGGCGGCGGCGGCGGCGGCGGCGGGCAAGCGGCACCGGGCGACAGCAGCTCTGGCGGGGAGAACGAGAACGACTTCGACGACCTGATCTCTGCGCTGCGCTCCGGCGACGTCTTCGGCAAGGACATTGACAAGATGCGGCGCAAGAAGAAGCACTCGTTCAGCGCCGGCTCGCGCGAGCGGGAGCGCGAGCGGATCATCGGCTCGCACAAGTACGCTTAAGCTTCGGCGTCGGGGCCTCGAGGCGCCTTGGCCAGCCCCCCCTCGCACGCCCTCGCCGCGCCCCTCCGCAGATACTCGCCGCCTTCCCTCGTCGCACAGGAGCTGCCTCCCTGGCGCCCGCGGGCCGCGCCTTCCGGCAGGCGGCGGCGTCCCCCTGCGAGGACGGGTGAGCGAGGCCGCCCGCCGTCGCGCCAACGCATCACTGCCACGCGAAGACAAAGCCGCAGGGATCGGTCGCTGCCTGAGGACCGGAAGTAGGAGCACATTTTGTAGACGATTCGGCCAGTTTGCGAGCGAGGCTTTTTTGGTCCGCCCGGGACTGGCCGTCATTTTTCCTATAGGTTCTCCCTCGTAGTCCCGTTCAGACAGGTAGGTCTACAAGGCATAATCACGTGCATAAAACACAGTCGACGTTCGTCCCGCGCATACTCGCCGGGAAGCAGCCCTCGGCGGGAGCGGGACGGGGCGCTGGACGGCCGTTCGGCGATTGGCGTCAATAAGGGCGAAGACGAAGCAAGTGGGTTTCAAGATTTGGTGTCGATCGCTGTTTGCGTTGAACAGACCAAGCTTTGTCATTCCTCTTTTGGGAAAGCTCATTTTAGTCAGGTTTGCTGCAGATAGAATTATATTTTTAGTTTGAACAGTACACACACAAACACACACACACACAAATATATATATATGATTTAATTCTACCATTTTCAAATTTTCGTTTTGTCTCCAAAAGTCTCATGTCTCTGCAGTACAGTTGCTCCACCTTTATTTAGAATAAACACATTAAATCAATTTAGTGATAGCTGAATTTAGCTCGGATATTATTATCATATTTTCTTTTTGAACTGTTTGCATGTGACAGTCTGCAGGATATAAGAAGGAGATTGAAGAGAAATTGAAAAAAAGAGAGAACTATAAAAGAGGAAGAACAAAATTAACAAGAAAAAGCTTTAATGGGAAGAGAGAGAAGAGAAAGTGTAAATTTAATATATGTTTATCAGTGTCTTCTTCAAAAAATGTTGCCCTCAGAGGCAGCGAGTCCTACACCTGTGTTTGTAGCACATCCTAACATATAGGGATAAGCTTATATATATATCTATATATATTAAAACAACTCTTACTATCAAGAAATGGCTTCAGTGATATATATATATTTTTTCTTTTTAACTCTGGAGGCCGGGTTGTCCATGTTTCAGCAGATTTTTTTTAAGCAAATCTCCCCAACAGCAGATACTGCGTCTAATCCGAAGCTTTGTATTCTTCTCATATAAAAAACATTAACGAGTATATATAATTCATTATAAATTAGTGTGAATCGAGAGAGGACAATGCAGCTCGTTCTTCCGCTCGCTTCCAGTTCCAAAAGGTCGGCGAACGAGATATAAAAAAAAAATCAAAGCATAGATCGCAGAGGACATCGGGGCCAAGGCTCCTCCTCGGCCGCCTGGAGAGCGAGGGAAAGGCTCCGTCTTGTACTCTCTTGAAGCCGAGAAAACTGAGGCTCCAGGATCGCCATCCCGAGTATTTGTGAATTTCTGTGATATTTTTTTGTAATTTCTTCATTTCCTCTGTGACAGTTAACCAAATTGTGCATTTATACATTCATACAGATGTTTCCATCACAAACCCGTACACGGACTAGTCATGTGCAATGTGTTGATCCATATATATATATTGAGAATCATGGTCACAAAGTAAATGAATTCGGTGTCCTGTCGCGCCGTCAACACATTACATGTAATAAAATTGTTCCTTGTTCACTTGGGTCGTGCACGAGAGTTGTTTGACTGCTCCTTTCAAGATCAAATTGAAGGAAATTTTGAGGGGTCAGGTGAGCCCTTGCACCAGTTACACAAGTAGGTTGAATAACCTCAATCCATCATGGAAGGACAGTATTACGAGATTTATCAACTGTATATACTTTAATATCTAATTCTCATGCAACTCTAGAATACGCGGATCACATAGCCAAAGTTTAGACTTTTTTATTTCACATAGCTTTTGTTTGGCAAAGCAGCATTGTGTTTCTGCATATTATCAGTGTCTCACAAAGCGTGGATAATTCAAGTAACCGTATCCTAATAGCAGTCTCCGAGTGCGTTCACAGCACCTCGTTCTCCACGCTCTGACGTTCCCTCATCGACTGTCTCTGTCTCCCCAGGACTTGAGACCGCATGTCAGTAGGTTAAGCTCTGATTTGCAGCTTCTGTGTATCACCCACACTCTCTGTGATGTTCAAGCCTCCCTCTCCCTGTCGTCACTCGTGTTCTTGCCCTCAAAGAGCCTCCTTACCTGTGGGCGTCTGACTATCAGTGAAGTCTGTGGGAAAATGTCATGTTCAAGGTGGATGGATTTTCATCAGTCTGAAGTTAGGTTTACGAAGATACCAGAATTAGTCTTTGTTTCAGATACTGAAAGTTTTTTTTTTTTTTTTTTTTTTTTTTTTGCTTTTGTACAATTGTTATTAGTAATAGTTCAAAGTCCGGACTCAACAAGGATTTTTATGTCATTTCTACAGGTAGTTAGAAAACCACATTTGCACTTGAAACAATCAAACTTGTAATCAAATCTGGTCCCTAAAGTCTTATTCTAGAAGATACGACAGTCATTCTGTGATGTGGTATCAAATCATGTTAATTCTCCTGTGATCATCTTTTTAGAAGAAAATGTACATATAATTAGAATTTTTCACAGCTTCTCCACTTCGGACTAAAATTGGATCTCATTAAGAAAAAAACAACATACAACATGAAAAATCTCTCTCGTAAGGAAGTTGAACTCTTGTTCTAAGTGAGTTTGAAAAGCGAAATACTTAAGTGGTGTATGGACAGTTCAACTCTGCTGTACCAAATTGCAGTACCTGTCAGTGTCCCAAATCCTCCAGAAACGAAACCATCCCGCACTCCATAATCAAAGCTAGGAATAGGTTTTTGCGACAGTAGTTTATCCGTGTCAGTTTGATGGATTTAGATACGAGATATTTCATTCCCATTAAATTAATGTAATGTTGGACAGGGAAAACAGGATTTTTTTTCTTATCTACATGTAGAGTAAACAGTACTCGTGTTGATGAAATTAATCTTTGGGAAAATTCTGCCATTTTAAATGAACACACTTTCCTCTTCTTATGATGATCACTTATACACTGAAGTAAGAATCTAGTACAAAGTAAGTCAAATGTGCCGAAGGGAGGAAGGAAGAGGCTGGACAGCACTCACTCCATGGAATGTAGATCCAACACATTTCGACTTGTGAATTCGAGTTATCACCCTTTTTGTTACATTATATGAATAATTATTCACAATTTTGCGAATTTGTATATAATATATAAAAGTATATGGGTGCACAGAGACAGTGAGTTATTTCTGGGTTTCACCATATATTACACGGCCTATTATTCTGCACTTTAAAAATAACCTGTACAGTTAAAAATATATATACAACTAAAATCTGCACGTGATGAAACAAACTTTTTTTTTCTTTTTGGTAATAGAAACTTGTACCAAAGATCAGTAAATAATTCACATCACGCATATACTGGAGAATGTATATAAAGGATTTACACTCCTGGTCTTTTGTAGACTATGTTACAGGCTTGCTAATGCTCATATAGGCACCAAGTGTATTCTTCATTGTATTGTAACTTCAACTGTGGAGGCTTCTACCTTTGGTGACTACAGAACTCTGTGAATGATTTTCATGTTTATACTTTCTGTATAATTTTGTATGTAATTTTATATATGGAATCATTATTGCTATACAGCTAAATAAATGTTGTAAACCAATCTACTTTATTTTTAATGAACATTCAGAATGAAAGAATTTGCTGAAAATTTAACTATTTCTGCTACTAATGCTGCAATGGTTTGCAGCAGGACAGAAAAAAAGGACATAATACTTAGTAAAACAATGGCAACACATTTTGTATATTTTTATTACAAATTTTTCTATATACAATATTAAAATATTTCTCCTACACTACTCCCTAACAGTTATACACATTAATGAATTTCAAATTTACATCAATTGATTACAATGGAACTGCAATGCACTCAACAGTCAATGATCTGCTGCAAGTGTGCTCTGCTGAGAACTTCAATCTGTGTTCATCTGTGATCTGCTGGACATAATTTGGCTTTTGTGATATGTTGGAAAATGCAAAGAATTTCTACCTACTTGATTTTAACCTTAAAGGTACAAGAGACCAGATTGATGAGTTTGTGACAGTGATCGAATTTCCACATTTGTCAGAGCTTGTATCATTTTTAAGTACCTTGATGTATTGTAGGGAAACCTGAGTAACAACAATAACGTTAAAGTTATAAAAGATATTTCCTTCATCTGGCTCCTCACAACTTCATTGCACTGTTTAAACAGGCACATCTGGACACGAGCATAATAAGTATCGTCACCGGGTAAGATGCTGTGGCTCCTCAAGAAGCAACACAAAAGTCACTACTACAATATTACTTTTGAGAATCTGTTGTTGTAGAATGAAGCTTTTTACTTTTAAACTCAGTAACCTTTTCCATTACTCTTTAATTCTCTAATTCCAGCTTCCTACTTGTACAACATCCACAGAATTCAAGACAGGCAGCATGCACATGCCTCAACAACAAAAAATTACCGACCACCTACCAATACCAACCCCACTCCACCTACAGTCTCAATCAGTAGGTGGAGTGCCAAAGAATTATTCACTCTTGATTACCACGACAAGCAGCTAACTCTACAGTACACGCATCTTTTTAGTCTGCTAAACCCAGAAGTTCTGCCACAGTGAGGAAAGGCAAACTTTGGTACCTCCATATTATCTGCTTCTATCCCTTAACATAGGATAGCCTGCAGTACACTCTTAATGTATCTGGAACAGTCCCTCCATTTCTTAATTCATCTTTCTTACTGCTTAGTTTAAAATTCTTGTTTCTTAACATACAACTCCAACATTCACCTCTGTTAATTTTAAAGCCTCTTGAAGAATAAAAGCTAAACTTAAAAACTATAATGAAATTTCCATCACCAATATTAATGCCATTTATCAAAAAATTTCCAAGCCTGACCTTACAGCCTAACCATGGGAAAGATATTAAATACTCAACTAGAGCACATCTCAGTCTCAAAGATGATTTCTTAGCTTACAGGATCTTGTACAAGGCTTTTGGATAAACAGATACTATGCTCAAATGTCCTGGCAAATCACATGAGGGCGACAAGAGAAACCTACACCTCTCTGCATCTACAGCAGTCCTAGCCAAATGTCTGTGCAAGAAACCCCTTCATCACTGAGCTGTTGGCTTGTTAGTAAATTGAGGAAGAAAACCTTAAATTTCATGACAAAGCTTTTTGTTTTATTTTTTCCTTTTTTTTTTGTTTTCAGTGCTGACAATCAACTGAAGCTGAACACATGATGTAAGCTCAAGAAAAACTTGCTTTTAAATTAATGTCACACAAGAGTAAAACTGAATGCCACTACAATGACTAAGGCAATGATCCCAGAAAAAAAAGGAATCCTTGGCTTAAATCAAATAAAACCTTTATTTATTATCATGATATATTACCTGCACTCCTTTCTTTATGCAAAATTATTGTGCTGTTAGTATGGGTGTGAAAGAACTATAATAGCAAAAGGATTAGTGCATCCCTTTATAATCAATGCCTCAGACTCGAATATGCCTCATTAGTTAATCAAAGTGTCAGATCAAAAGTTAGGTAGCCTTTTATTCATCTGCAGTGTCAATCTGTCCCATTGGCTTGAGGTTTTCCGCCACTTCGAATAAGCATCCTGTGCTGGATACGAATGTCCTCAATGGTAACGCCGTCAGCGATTTCCACCAGGGTCAGGCCGTTCTCCTTGTCTACACTGAATACGCACTGGAAGTGGAAATTAATGTCTGTTTTATTTATTCATTGAAAATTTTCTGCCACATCACATCTAAGGACATTAGTGGCGTATTCAAAATATAGTGATAAGGTGGGGTTTGGCATTATGATAAAGTATAGTGGTGAAAGGGTTAAACATGAGTTAATGATTAGGATAAGTGGACAGGAGAAGGAGACGAAGAAGAGAAGGAAAATGAGAGAAGAAAAACCAGGCAAAATTAGTTGAGGTGAGGGGTGAGGACCAAGGAAGGGGTGATTCCCCACACTGGCACTCAGTCCCCATCTCCGAAGCCTCCACAACAAGAAGCAAGATATTGGGTCTGACATTGCTGTCTGAGGAGAGTCCTATTATGGCAATTGTTTTGGGTATTGTTCTTCAGATCATCAATTTTCAATAAAAATTCTACAGAAATGATACATATGTACTGAAAACTATAAAACTTATTATTAATAATAGCAGAACCCAAGTGAAAGGCTGTATCTTTTACTGAAAATGAGTTTCAATTGACCTGAAAAACAGATGCTCCAGTTTTGAGGTTTCCTACAAACCTATCTGAACTCTCCTCACAAATCTATGACTGAAGTCAAAAGTGAGAAGCACAAAAGACCCGACTCACCTTCTCTGTGATTATCATGTCGACACAGTTCTTGCCCGTGAGGGGGAGCGTGCAGGCATCCACGATCTTGTGTCCGCCCTTCTTGGCCGAGTGCTCCATCGTCACCACCACCTTCGTGCCGGGGGATGACACCAAGTCCATTGCCCCACCCATGCCCTTCACCATCTTGCCCTGGAGGGGACAGGGAGTGACGTTAGGTAGGCATGTGGAGGAAAACTAATGCTATGTGGTTTTTAAGGTTAAACCTAAAAGAAAAACAGTTTTAACAATACATCTAAAAGAAAAGAAAGAAAAAAAATAAGTAACAGTAATAACCTCTTACTCCTAAGATAAACGGTAATAAAATGAACTGTAAGGAAAATGCACACACAATTATTGTTCAAAGCAAGCACATTACATAAAAGCATGGTAAAGGGCCCACTTACCGGAATCATCCAGTTGGCCAGGTCACCGAACTGTGAGACTTCCATGGCCCCAAGAATTGTCAGGTCCACATGGCCACTGAGCAGAGAGAGAAAGATGTTGAACCTTCAGTGCTTGGATTCTTAGAATTATAATTATCTTAAATCGTTAGATCCTAGTGATGTGGATAAGCCATCCTGAAAAAAATTGGCTGAGGGCAGGGGGGGGGGGCACCCCTCCCTTGTTCCTCCCAAGACACTCACCCTCGGATCATGGCAAAGCTCTCATCAGAGCCAAAGTAGGAGGCCCCCGGCGTGACAGTCACAGTCTCTTTGCCAGCGTTGATGAGGTCGGGGTCTTGCTCGCCCGGGGCAGGGAAGGGACCCAGGCCCAGCACCCCGTTCTCACTCTGCAGCTGCACGTTCATGCCTTCGGGGAAAGGAGGTGGTCAGGGAGGACAGCTGATATGAAGCTGGGGGAGCACATGAAATTGCCAAATAGCCATGACTTTTGAGTCCTTAAGCAGGCCGTGCGGACTCAGTGCATTGCCATAAATTCTAAACTAATGATAGGAAACAGGAGAGAGGGAGGGAGAGAAAAAGAAAAGATGAATAAAGAAAGAAAAGGAATAAAAAGAGGAAATGAAGAGAAGCAAAGAAAAAGGGAAAAAAGAAGAAAAAAATAGAGAAAAGAGAAGAAAAAACAAAGAAAGTTAAAAAAAAAGAAAGAAAAAAGGAAAGAAGTTGTAGATCTGGTATGTCATGGCTGCTTTCTGATGCACCAAATATGATTTTGCAAAAAGAAAGGCTGGTATGTATAAAGAACAACTGTATATACAAAT